AAAAGTCAAACTTTTTAGAGGAACGATGCATGTCATTGACATAAATTAAGAAAAGAAGCGGACCAAGTACAGAACCTTGAGGGACTCCACACACTATTCTCTCTTTGCTAGAGACAATAGAACCGATTTGGGTTGATTGCATCCTGACAGACAAGTATGACGAGAACCAGTCATTAATCAATCCTCTAATTCCATAATGGTGTAATTTATGCAACAAAATCGAATGATCAACCGTGTCGAAGGCCTTTTTCAAGTCAATGAAAATNAGCTTGTGCATTAGTGTTTACGATAGGAGCGGTGGTCGAGGCAATTGCTGCATCGAGAAATGGTTTACTCGTTGGTAGGCTTATTGTCGGTCTTGGAATAGGTAAGTAAAAAAAATAAAAATGGTTTTCTGCGATATGAAAATTGGTCTCGAGATCAAAAAGATTAATAAGAGAGGTTAAGATTAAGATTAAGAGAGATATGAAGATCGATCTCACGATCAAAAAGATTAAGAGAGACTTTAAGAGCCCAGAGAACGATGACAAATGATAACTTGATCAAGTGTTCCTTAGAACTACGGCATAGTATGTCTTAATTTTTGTGGCTACAGCCTCCTTTAGGAGGATCAGCTAGGCCTTTATAGATTATGCTAGCATAATTTTTGGCATAACTTGAGCAAACTGGCACAATTTCTGTCAAGTAGCAATGCTAGCATCAGTCGCATATATTTTGATAATTATCGAATCATTTTTGATGCTACAGTTGGATCATTCTTCATCTCTACTCCCGAGCACTCTGTGACGTTATTCGATGTTTTAAGTTCTATTTAAAAAACGAGCAGCAGTGTTTTATGGGGTTTAAAGACACGAGGGGTAGCCGAGTGTTTTTAGACCCGATAAAACACGTGCTGCCAGCTTTTTAAATAGCTTCAAAGACCCGTGCCTCTCTATGGATTTTTCCAAACGTTATATGAATGCATTGAATAGCTTCAAAAACCCGTGCCTCAAGGGTTTTTTCCAAACGTGATTTGAATGCATTAAAAGTTAATTACATACAGAGGGTAAAAGTGCTCCTTGTTCGGCTGCTGTTAAAATTCAGAAAGCTTTTCCTTGAAATGCCGCCCAAAGGCGTGTTTCGAGAACTAAAAAATTCAAAGGAAGAGAGAGATTACTCGGATAGTTGTGTTACTCGGTATGCCACAAGGTGGGCTTAGAAAATTTTTGGCGAGTGGCAAAGTTCCAAAAGAAATATAGACGCCAACTTGGAGGAAATAGGATTTAGAGCTGAAGTTGAGAAAACTGCACAATTAATTTTGTGAACAATGGGAAATTGTAAAAGAACGAATTTCTGTTCTACCAAGAATTTACCAGGAAAATAAACTTTGTTGTTTACTGCGGTTAATGTTTTTCTATGTTGCCTTTTGGGGAATAATTTGGTATTATGATTAACGTGATCTTTATATAAAGATCTCTAGTGATCTTTATATAAAGATCACAGTAATCATATTTTCATTAATAATTCCGTGGTGATTTCGTTGTTTATGAATTGTACCCCGATTTCCCCCGAGACCGAAATCAAAACCCTCTCCGGGCTTTTCAGAAATACCGGCAAAAAAAGGTTCATACACGTGATCGATTTGCCTCGTGTGATAGGCTAATCAGCTCATGAATTATTAATAAGTTTTTGAAGTTTTAGTTCAAGTAGTAGCATTTGTAGTAGGGACTTTAAGTAGTCAGTACGGTAACGCCACGGAAGACGTCGATTAAAAAATAAGTATCTACTTTTAGTTAGAATTTCGAAAATGGCTACATGTGTTTACCGTGTCATAGGGTGCCAGACCTCAAACTCAACATAACGCCTAAAAGTAGCGTTGAGATCCAAATGTAAATTAAAATAATTTGCCGCTGCAGTTTCGCTTCGCACACGACGCAAATTTTGGTGATTTCACGTTGTTGTTTTGTAAAAGACGGCTAAGAAATGTACAAAGTTTGAAAACGCTCGTGCTGGGCTATTGTTCTGCCAATTTTTCTATTGTTTTTCCACGTTCTCGTTGCTGTAGCCGTCGTGGTTTGCTTAAAGTCTCTAGTTCCCTGTGAATCACTGAGCGGCGTCTGAAACGGTCTGAGCCCGGGTCTAGTGTGCACCGGAACCGGAAGTTGTATTGTAGGCCATGTATAGTCTAGTACTAGTGTGCATGTTAACATGAACCACATGTTTATTTGAATTCCATTGTGAATTTCTTATAGACCAATGACTTCTAATTAAAAAATGTATTTTTTGGACTTGTTTGCCATTTTTTCAAAGAGCATACTTTTAAAAAAAGGGGCATAATTCGGAATAAAGAGCATAATTTTAGCATAATTTCGCCAAAAAAAAGCAATGCTACAAGCATAATATGCTACTTTTACTAGCATAATCTATAAAAGCCTAGGATCAGCCACATACGTTTTTGAGATGAGTGAGTGAGTGTAACAATATAATTCTGACCTTGACCCAATTTTGACCCGATGTTACTCGGTGCTACTTTTGTTTTCTTCGAAATATCCTAGCAGTTCGACATTCGCACTCGATAGGCAGTTGAGTTCTTTCCTTTTGTGATTTCTGGCTTATAGCCACCAGTACATTATGTTTTTAGTTCTTGCCATAAAACTACGGAAAGCAGCAGAAGATGATAAGCATCTCACAATCATTTAAGGATTGCACGTGGTTAGGACAGAAGAAAACCTAGTAGAGAAGGC